CAAAGGAGGCAATCCTTACCCCTAGGCTTACAGTCTAGAACAGGGGTTCCCAACTTTTTTGACTCGTGAAGCCCTTATTTCTGTGGCAGAGTCCCTAAGAGGCCTACCCTCTGTCTTGCAAGTTAATGGTGTTTGGGAGTATATACAAGAATATATTCTTATTCTTCAACTTCATTCAGTTTTTATTTCTTTCATTTTCCTGGAGTGGCCATGGAGCACCTGGGAAGTGCATGTGGAGCCCTCTGTATTCTAGTTTTGTAACTGAATCCAGACAAAATGGAGGTGCTCACAGTAGCGGGCCCGAAACCGGGAATTGGGTTGTAACCTCCAGTCCTGGATGGGGTCACACTCTGCATGAAGGACTATGTTCGCAGTCTGAGGGTGCTGCTGGACTTGTCACTCCTGATGACTAATCAGGTAAATGTGATGGTCAGGAGCGCCTGTTATCAGCTTCAGCTGATACGCCAGCTGATCCCTTTCCTAGAAGTAAGCGACCTTGGGACTGTTCTGCACACGCTGGTAACCTCCCGTCTGGATTTCTGTAATGCACTTTACATGGGGCTACCTGCATGCTTGGTCCGGAAACTTCAATTAGTACCGAACATGGCAGCCAGAGTGGTCTCGGGGACATCTAGAAGAGACCACATAACGTTGATACTGAAGTCTCTTCACTGGCTGCCCATCAATTTCCGGGCCCAGTATAAGGTGTTGGTTATGACCTTTAAAGCCCTAAATGGCTTGGGTCCAAACTATATCCGGGACCGCCTCCTCCCATACAATCCACCCCGCACACTCCAGTCCTCTGGGAGGAATTTGGTGCAGCCAAAAAAAAAAAAGTCAAGGCTGTCTGCAACCTCCCAGAGGACATTTTTGGTAGTTGTCCCCAGACTTTGGAATGGTCTGCTGGATGAGATCCATCAGATAACAACCTTAAGCAACTTTTAAAAAAACTGTGAAGACGTATCTCTTCCGGCAGGCCTTTCCTGACTAGATTTTCCTGGCCTCAGGAGTTGTGTAGTCATTTTGCTTTGGCTCTCGTTACTGCCCTGCTTGTTTTGTAATTTGCTTGTCTTATATTTATGTGATGTTTTCACATGTTTTAATTGATATATGATTGTTTTAATGGATATATCATTTAATACTTTTTTAGGGGCGGGTGGGTTCTGGGGTTTCTAGCTTGTATTTTAGGTTGTATTTATATTGTATGGAATTTTAATTGATGTAAGCTGCCCCAATTGGTTGACAGAGGGGCGGGGTATAAATACATTTTTATTATTATTATTATTATTATTTATTATTATTATTATTATTATTATAGTTATAAATAGTGATTCTAGTTATTCTAAGCAGTTCCAGGAGAGGAGAATGGAGTTGCTGTTTCAGCAGAACTGAGGGCATGGCCCTGCTTCTCATCTGCACTTTAATGCAATGGTTGCTGCCAGGGTGCTTTAGGAAATGCATTAACAAATAAGTTCTGTTGAACAGAGGTAGCTAGATAGTGTGTGTATGTTAGTGATTAAGAATTTGGAAAGGTTACTGGACTATCACTCCCATAATCACAAATGAGCTTGTTGTAGGATTTTGGTAGTTGTGATCAAGCAATTTTCCCAAGTTCTAGTTAGGATTTAGCATTGGACTGAGAAAACAAGTTTCTCCCTTCTCTTTCCAAGTGTATATTGACCTTGAAGTCATGATGCTATCTTATGCCAGTGCTGTTTCCAAACAGGTAATGCCTTGCATTCATTAAGTGTAGTTGCATGTGTGATCTAGCTGATTTTAAACCATATGTTGATATTTCTTTACTATATCATGCACTGTCTAGACTCCTCCTAATGATTTTTTTTCAAGATATAATTACTAGTTTAATTCTCACTTTAATTTCTCTAAATTAATGTGGGAAAGCTACTACATTTAATTAGTGTGTAATCAATGCTTTCATTGTACAACAGCTTCATGCTGGATAAAACACGCAAACGGAGATTGAAATGAATAATGTTCCATTAACTCATACCTGTTTGGACTGTTAGTATAACTTGTAAAATTATATAAAGTTATTTACTATGAGAACTGCAAAATTATAATATATTAGGTACACAGAGAAATGGATAAACCTAATTATGAGTTTTAAATTTTTTTGTTCTATAATTCATTACTTTTTACAAATAATTCTCTTTGCAAATTAATATGTGATAGCTTACCTGTGTCTCTTTTCCAGAAATGAAAGAATATTGTGTTGTCAAACTGCTCAAATACAGCTAGAAATATAAAATGTCAAGTACTCAATAGTGTTTTCTAAGCATGACTAATGTTCATTGGTGGTAAGTAAGAGGAATTACAGAGTTGTCAGTAACTGTAATCCCAAAAACTTTTAATTTTGTACTATTTGGATTTATTTTATTTTTATTTTTTGGTCTAAGTAGAGGAAAAAATATTGGTTTCTTGTAAAAATATGAACACTGCTCAATAGCATTGATCTATTCTAGAGTAACAGTGTCCAGTATTTCCAATGGGAAGAAGAGCTAATGGGTGGAAGTGACACATCTTTTCATCTTTGTTGTATAGGAGGGCTTGTCCAGAAAGAGCAAATGTGTCAGGAAGTTGCTGCAGTTCTTTGTTATTGTTGTTGTTGTTTTTAAATATCCAAATGAAGTTTCTGGAAGCTGTAGCTCCAGTGCCTTATTCTTACCGTCAAGTGTTTTGGGTTCTTTTTAGTCCTGAAACATATATCTGCTGGACTTATTCCCCTTCCCCACCACCATTTCCTAATCCTTTTGAGTCTTGTCTTTTTAAATTGTAAGCCTGAGGGCAGGGAAATGTCTAATTAATCATTTGTAAGCCGCTCTGATAGCCTTTTGGCTGAAGAGCCAGGTATAAATACTCCATCATCATCATCATCATCATCTAGAAACAAGAGCATTCTTCTCTTTTCCTCCCTTTCTTATTTAAAAAAAAATGAATATTGTAGTGCATCAGTGAAATGGTATTTTGCAATATAATGCCATAACTGTAAGAAAAAAATAAATAAAAATACAGAGGATAAAATTTGCCCTTTAGCATACACAAGCTCATTTTTCAAATAATCTTTTCAAAGACACTTTGGAAGAGTCTTATTACAGGTCCAAAAAATTGCTACAAACAGCCCCATCACCAAGAATAGAATGAGTATACATAGAGTTGAAAAGGACTGGAAAAACCCAGGGAGTTATATTATGAGAAATCATGCCTCTTTAGACCATTCTGGAACAGCCATGAAAGATGTTAGGCATTAAATATAGTAGATCCACTGAGTGGCTAAAGATCTCATACTTGATTGTAATGCTCTGTAATTCTCAAGAGTCCCAGAGAATCACCTATATGGATTTTACATTCCTTTTTGGTAATATAAATGAACTGTTAATACAAATGTGTGAATATTCTCTGTAAATATCTCCGTATCTCGCTTTGTCTGATACTCAAAATTCAAAATTAAAAAACAGTTCAAGTTGTCTTGCCCAGCAGCAAATCTTGGTTTACTTAAATATGGTATGTTAATTGTGCCATTCTTTGGTCTTTAAACCAACCGGTATTATATTAAAAATACTGTGTCAGGATCGTTTTCTAATTAAATCTAATCAATCTGCTATTCCAGTTGGGAGACAGTATGGAAAACAAATATACTATGTTATACAAAAATAATTTTTAAAATCTTGCAACATCTGACTTTAGGTGAAAGAGTTTGCTGATTAAACATATTTTAATAAATACTAAATGAAAAATGTATGATATAATGAGCCCTAAATTATGATCAGAACAGTGACTAGAGCATATGTAACCAATCCTTTTCTCTGAAAGCCCACAAGAGACAGATATCTAGTGAAATAAGCATGCCATATTAAACATTAAAAAATCTACATTTAGTGGGAGGAGGGATGACTTCCCCTTGGAAGAATGTGGAATTTTACTTGCTTACTTGTAAACTCTGGA